GACATCCATTCTTAGTTTCAGATTCTGATAATTCATCAGAATTTCATTGGTTTAGCTTATAAACTCATCTTTTGAAATTTTGGTAAACCACTGAAAAATGTATTGGGCATTACTGGTATAACTGCATTGTATCAGGTATATATCAAACTCGGTACCTCAGTGGACCAAAAAGTCGTCATTTTACAATAGTGCAAGCCACAAGAAAAAAACAATCAATTTAATACTCAATAATTTATTTAAAAAGTGAGTAAAGAAGAAAAAAATTCATCTAGTACTCTAGTTTTTTGAAGTGTAGACGGAATGTAAGGAAATGCTTGTTTGTTTCTTTCCAACACCTAGCATTTTTTTTTCTTTGACTGGCTCTCAGATGTCCAAAAACAAGCTGCTGGTACAAGAAATTTTCAAAAGTCAGATGAATGTCAGTTAACTTAAATCTTGTTAGTGGTATTGTTCCTTTTCTAAGTGAAAAAAGCTGTTCACACTGATATGTACTCCCAAATATTGATATATATGCAGAATATGCAGCATATAATGCAGAATGCAAATTTGTAGCTTTCTGGGGACCATGCTAGTGGCTGTTTAAAAATTTTGGGGAAACCATTTCACTGAATTTTTCACTTTAGAGCTGAGTTGCAATGAATTTCTATTAATTCAATCTGTAAATGGGTTGGCACTTTCTCCTAAAAATATATTTTTGTAAAAAGATCATTTTAAAAGCACTTTTTAGCACCCGAGGTTTAATATACACCTCGATTTTGGGCAGAATTCCAAATTTTATTAGTATACTTTTTGTGATTTCAGGCGGTAAACCAAGGATTACAGAAAAACGAATCAAGTATGACATGCCTTGCATTACATCATCACCAAATTCCTATGAATGTGTTGATCATTTTAGGCTTTTCTAACTGAAAATGGCTCTTCACGTTAATTAACACATACAGTTCATAAAAAAATAAACAGTTGCGGCAGAATTCGAAGAGCAGGGTATTTATTTGCTGAAATTTTGACTCTTAGGTTTAAGAATTGAGTTAAATTGTTAGATTATGACAAAGAACACAATGGATATCTCGCTAAGAGGAAGATGCTTCTCTGGTGGATCTTTTAAGTAATTATTGTTTGTGTTAAACATCAAACATAATAGGCTTCTATTCATATTATACATGGGGAAATTCACAGAAACTCCCATGCAGCCAGCCCATTTGCCATAATTTGAGCCCCTGTCAAACTATCAGTATTCAGCAGTCTTTTCACTCAGCAGGTAGTAGGTGCCTGCTGTGTTTAAAATTTTACAATTATTTCCATCTGCAACTAAATAATTTCACATAAATATAAATTTTATAATGTTATCTTTATCAAAGGATAATTTCTTTTTTTTTAATAATACCAGGTAATCTGCATAAAAATTAAAACTACCTCATTATTTGAGTTGATGCAAAAGGAATTTCATCAGCCATCATATTTCATAAGCATAGTTAGAATGTAGAATTCTTACGGTACAAAAACAAAAATTTTCATCTGTTTCTTATTTTATGTAATTTAAAATAAATATACAGTAAACCTTTCTGTGATGATCAACTTTGAATATAACTGGTATTTCAGAGAACAGAAACAAACAATAGTATTAAACATAGCTCTCTAATGTAACGAATTCAACAGATGAAAATTATCTGGAACCATGGATGTGGTTATAGAAGAAATTTACTTTATATAGAGAGAGGGAGACAGAGAGAGTGTTTCAGAAAAGCAAACTTTCAGGAGAGATAGAATACATTTAGACAATGGAAAAATACATAGCAGTGCTTGGTCAGAAACACTTACCTTGTGCATAGTGACGACACAAAACGTAAGAAAGGACATGAACAGGGTGAGAATAACATTTATTATGATTAGTACAGAAAAACCACGTAATGAAAACAGAAAAAGACGATAGTCATCAAAGAAGGTGTTCGAAATTACGACCCAGACCATGATGCAAGAACCATGTATCATGCATCTTTCGTGTGTGATGCAGATCTTCCATTTGCCGGAGATATGAGGCCTGCATCATGGCCTGGTGTCATAATTCGGAACACCTTCTTTAATGATGACTGTTGTCTGTTTTTCTTCTTATTTGGTGATTTCTGCTGTACTCAACATAATGAAACATGTTTTGTCACACTGTTCGTGTCCTTCCTTTTTGTGTTTTGTGTCATTATTAGTGTGTGAAGAAAGCGTTTCCGACCTTGCTGTAGGATTTTCCATTCTAGGTGTACTCTATCTCTCTTGAAAGTTTGTAACTGATTGCTACAGCACCTTGTATATAAAATGTATATATACACTGACTACCAATAAGTATTTGGACACCTATGCAAATGACGATATCTGCGGTCCTAAGGTACGTCACGGACTCCGCCGGTATATATTGTGTAGGAAACAGCATCGGCTTAGTCGCTGAAGATGCCTCGCATTCGGCGCCTCTGTTTCGAGCAAGGTATATTATCGGTATCACATGGGCCGATCCTAAGGACATATCGACGGCGAATACCCAAATCGGCATGGGCCTTGGGATTAAGAAGTGGAAGGTAGTGATGATTGTCGGAATGTGCCCCGAGTCGGCAGACCAATGAAACTGGGAGATAGAGACCGACGAGTGCTATCCAGAGAAATTCGGAAGAACCGCACGCAATCGATGGCCCTCATGTGAGAGGAGTTTCAACAGGCATCCGGGAGTATTGTTTCAATGAATACCATCTGTAAGGAAGCACATCTGCTTGTTTTCATCGTCTTGCTGCTGCCCATAAGCATTTGATCACAAAGTCCAACTGTGCTGCTTGGTTAATGTGGTGCAGAGCACATCGAAATTGGACCGTAGATCAGTGGAAACGGGTCTTTGGAGTGATGAATCAAGGTTCACCCTTTACCATTCAGATGGCAGGGTCTGGTTCTGGCGTCTACCTGGAGAACGTCTCCTGCCAGAATGCATTGTGCCAACAATCAAGTTCGGCGGAGGTGGAATTATGGTCTGGGGGTGTTTCTCCTGGTATGGGCTGGGACCCTTGGTCCCCATTCATGGTAAGCTCAACTCCAATGCCTACTGCACTATTTTGGATGACAATGTGCTTCCTACGTTGTGGCAGTTTTACGGGTTGGACCCCTGTTACTTTCAGGACGACAATGCCAGTTGTCATGTTTCGATGTTAACCAAGGCTTGGTATGGTGCCAATGGAGTTCATCGAATGGACTGGCCTGCCCAGAGTCCAGACCTGAACCCTATCGAAAACCTCTGGAACGAGTTGCATTGCCGAATTCAGGGGTGCACTACCCATGCAAAATTGGTGAAGGAACTTCTATGTCTTCTCCAAGCCGAGTGGAAGAAAATACCACTAGCTGTCATACAAAGACTAGAGGAAAGTATGCCCTGGAGGGTCCACACTGTAATTACCTCTCGTGGAGGCTCTACCAACAATTGATTTTGAATAAAGTTAGTTTTTCTTTTCTATCACAGGTGTCCAAATACTTATTGGTAGTCAGTGTATATATATATATATACACACACAAGGTAAAAACAGAAAGGTAATAAATAAGTCTGATTACTTATGCAGGACCTCATATTACCTTGTTGCCTTCTCTGCATGTGATTAGGTATTATCTCTGGTCTTCAGCCCAGATTTTTACTCCCTCTCATGTTTACTCCCCACCCCTGAAATTGCTGAAAATGAGAGGTGTTTTGGACGATCTTGTATGTCTGAAACAATGGAAATGTGGTGAGAATTAAAAATCTTATGCTGTCAAGCAACTGACTGATGGTGATCATCATTTATTAATGTTGAGTTTAATTTTCAATCATTTGACAGTGCACAAAATTTTTACGAAATAATCTGACATAAGGAAAATGTTTGCCAGCCTAAATTAAATACCTTCAAACAGAAAGTGTTTTTTTTTTTTTAAGGGGTGGTGTGATTGCTTTTTCTGGAATGCATCCAGAGTGACTCGAAACAAAATGTTCAAATGCAGGAGCCGCATCCAAAGCAACTCACCACATCCTATCAATATATATATAAGAGCAAATTTGAAATCAAATCAGTGATGATCTGCTTTTTCAATAGTCAGAGGATCATTCACAAGAAATTATGGCTTTATTCTTAAACTGAAATCAACTTTAATGCTATGAAGTTCTCATAAAGGCCCAAAAAAAGAGTTGCTTGCAGGCTGCCAAGAATTTGAGGTATTTGGATATTGTATTGCATGAATGCCCTATGCATTAGCATACAACACTCTCCATTTCTAATTTTTATCTTAAGGAGGCATTTCAGTAGTTTCTTATCATTGCAAATGATCTGAATCTATATGACTTATTTATCCAGATTAAAAATTCATTCTAAAAGCTGCCATTTTTAATTGGAGAGAAAACGGCGTGCAGAAACAGACAACTTGAAAGTTGTAATGCCTCGAGCATTACAAGAATTGCTCCAGAATTGGTACTGTTATTTCTAGCAGTGTGTTAACTTTCCAAAACAAATGGTTTGAAGGATGATACAGTGATTTTTAAATTTAGAAATATATACCATTTCATGAAGCTAATCTTATTGCTTTTTTATACACCTTACAATGATGGTTGAAATAAATTTACAATAAAACATAAATCCTTTATAACTAAATATGATACAAAATGTAGTTCTTACAAAATTATGAAAAAATTTAAACTATGTTATTTCATGCAGCTAAGGATCTTTAGGATTTCAGTTATTTAGACTTGTAGTTATTCTCCTGTATATGTAAAATATAAACTTAGTTGATTTTTGACTAATCTTTACATAATTAAGATACAATCTTTACATAGATAAAAAAATTATATTATTTTATCAATTAATAAATTACTTGCTTTTTTGTGTGGGGAGAGGGGGTAATTCATCCTGTGTTATTTCGTCATTTATCCAAGAAGATGTGTTCTAAATAAGTAATAAAATGTGAAAGTAAAATGCCTTTTTTTTTTACAATTGTGTGACTTTGTTTATTTTCAGGAGCAACAGCGTTACACTTCCGTCAACAACACAAAATAGCATTCCAAGAAGTTCAACCTATGAAAAGTTATCAAGAACTAATGGACATCTAAATGAAAATGTAAAATCCCAAAGTAAAGTAGCTTCAAATTTAATAGAAAGCTCAAAGCCTAAACAATCTAAGCCAACTTCTACAATAACTAAAACATACACAAAACAAAAGGCATCAAGTACTACAACAAAACCGTCTGGAGGTGCAAGAATAGTTAAACCAGTAACTCCACGTCCCAAACCAAGCGCAATAACTTCAAAGACTTTGAGACAGTCTGGTAGTTTCACTCCTTATTCTGAATCCCGCAGCTACAGCTTATCATCAGGACCACCTGCATGTCTTTCGATAGGTAGAAGTAGCAGCAATTCAGATTCTAGAGTTTCTATACCTTTGGTAACAGCTCCTTTTGCATACACAACACTCGCAATCTGTGATGAATCAAAGTTAAATGAAAGCAAAGTGGAATCCAACAGTACAGAAAATGGACAACATTTAAAAACTATAGTTGATGGTAACACTTCTTCGGCAATGAATGGGAATAGAAAGGATAGTGAATCAGAGGATAGTGACAAGGAAGGTGTATGAAAGAAATAATATGCTTTGCTATTATTTTTAATTTATTCTGAAAGTTTAATATATGTCTTGCATTTATTATTATTATTTAAGACATAATGATTCTGAAGTGATTAAAATCTTGCAGTATAACTTTTTAAAGTATACTAAAAATGCTGCCAATTTTTTACTAATTTTATTATCTTTTGTTCTTCCATTTGTTGTGTGACTGCTGAGCTACACAAGAAAGTAATAGTTTATTTCATTACCACAATAATTTGTTGGGACATTTTTTTAAATGTTAGTGAACACAGCTCTGAGATTGTACATATTAAATACAAAAGATGTATATTGGTTTTAATAAATGACAAATTTCACCCTCTTGCAACATATAATTTCAGTAATAAAAGGAGGGTGTTCATTGGAAGTAATACAAAGTCCGCCTTTTCTTGTCGAGAGCAAATATTGTTTTGCTGTTAAATTAATGTATAAAATTTAGCTTTCCATATGAATAATTAAAAAGAAGAAAAAAAGAAAGAAAAAGGCTCTGTGTTACAAAATAAAACATGAATACCTCTTCATTTTTGGAGGAAGAGTATTATTCTGAGCAGTTTCTGCTTAGAGTAATATTTGCTATCTGTGTGTGCATATTACTTGGATGCATTTGTATCAATTGGGAAATATTTCACAGTTTACACTTTAAGATCAAATTTAAATTAGTATTTTAGTAATCATAGCTTTAAAATTTATCCACTTTATTAAAATTGTCATTACAGTTCTTAATTTAAATAAACATGATTAAATTACATATTTTTAGTTGATGTTTTCAATTTATTAAAACTTAATGCATTTATTGATGTAGAATTTTATTTTGTTGGTTGCTTGAGTTGACGAAAAGCTATTTTAGTCACATTTGAATTAGTGAGATATTTATTTGTAAGTCCGAGGATTTTGTAACAGGGTTGGACAGCTATTAACTGTAATTAAAAATATGATTGTTTAAAATATATTTTCTTCATGTAAAACTGTAAACGCAAAGTGAATGTAAGTTGCATATAAAAGAAGCATTTATAATGTATGAAAGTTTATGCATACTTATCATTTGGAAATTCCTTAGTCTTTGCTTTTATTTATCATGTATGTGATTAATTAAAGCTGCTAAAAATTTACTGATTTTATACTTGCCATTGTATTTTAAGTTATCAATACTTCCTTCTGTGCCCCTTTTTTGGGGGTAAAGGGCAGTTGAAAAAGAATGCAATGTAAGACAAGGTTACTTTAATTTTGTGAAATGTTCATTCTTTCTTAACTTGTTAAGAATAAATTGAGACAAGCTTAGTGCTGGTTTTTTTAAAAGATTATTCTTTGATGAACATTCAGAAAAAAATTATCCTTTCTTCAATTATGCAATTTAAGAAACATTTTTGTTGCTAGTTTTATGATTGAATTTATTAAAAGTTATGAATTGTAAAGAAGAATAAATTTAAAAGAGCAGACTAAAAAGTGGGAAAGGATGCCTGCATTCAATTTCTCCTCTAGCAGTATGATATTTTGCGATAAATTTTAAAGTCTTTGGCTTTTATATAAATGTAATATGTGGTTTAATGTAAGCTTAAAAATGTAAAATAGAAAAAGACAAATTTTGGATGAGCAAATAATTTTCTTTCTCTTGTTTAATAAATTGATGATTAAAACATGCTTCTCTGTTTTTAAGTTTAACCCTGTTGTGATTCGCGGGAGTTACCTTGGGATAAATAAACCATCGTGGTTATTCGCCCGGGTATACTCAGTGTCTTCAAATGCTTAACCGTTTGAGTCCGGCGAAGCGCTATTGCGCTTCACTTCTCGTATGCCAAAAATACGGCGCAGTGCGATAGCGCTTCTCTTGTTTTGTATCAAGAATGCAAAGACGCTGCTGTTGGTTAGTATACTTTATGCAATTATTGAGAGCAGTTGTAGTGATATCAGTAGCAGTTGTTTTATAGGAATTGGAAATTGTTTTAATTTTTTTACCAAGTGTTATACTGATAATTACGAAATAACCCATGTCAAGTTCTGATTCATTTGAAAGTGACTATGTTATGAGAAGGAATAATGAAGAGTATAGTAATGACCTTGAAAGTGATAGTGGAAGTGACATCATCATTCGTTCTAAGAGATTACGAGTTATTAGTGATAGCAGTGATGATGATGAAGTAACTGCAAGTACCTCCGATGTCGATATTATTGATGAGTTTTTACCCGTGGATACAATTTTTTCGAATGAATCGAATACTTTTTCTGAAGTACCTGGACCAAAGCATGCCCCTCCTCCTGATGTGAAACCAATTGAATATTTCAATAATTTTTTTTCATTTTTCTATATTTTTTTTCAATTTTCAATAATTTTATTTTTAAGTATACTAACAGCAGCATTCTCGATACAAAACATAAGAAGCGCTGTATTTTTGGCATACGACAAGTGAAGCGCACGCCGGACTCAAACGGTTAACATATGATTATCCCAAGTGCTACAAGTAAATATCTCCAAACTGTAAAGCATATCCCCCCTACTGCATTTAAGTGACCATTAGCAATCAGCGCTACAAAATATGTAACTGCAGGAATTTTCCCTTCTGTTGGTTTGGAGTAGGCATATGAATTACATTTTCTAAGAATTACCTACTTCTAATAAAAAAAAAACACATTATAGTTATAAATAAAAAGAAAACTTTATTAAATAAGATTAATCATAACAAGCCTTACTGCATTCTACAAAACCACCACTCTGTTGGTTTGGAGTAGGCATATGAATTACATTTTCTAAGAATTACCTACTTCTAATAAAAAAAACACATTATAGTTATAAATAAAAAGAAAACTTTATTAAATAAGATTAATCATAACAAGCCTTACTGCATTCTACAAAACCACCACAACCTCACTAGATCCCAGATACACTTTTCCTCATTTAACTCATTCTTTTACAATTTAAGAAAATATCAATGTTGCCAAGATATTAAAACTTAAAATTATACTTTATATACAAATACTATCACCACCTTTGGATGCTTGCGATGCTTTAGAAGTTATTCGGTTGTCCACACTGCAGGATTGCAGTTTAGCACAATAGGTTCCCTACTTTGCAGAAAAAGAGAATGCAGAATCATGCAGGGAAGCTAACTGTATTTGAAGTGGATGGGCAAAATGTTTCATTCATTTCATTGAGCTACTATTTAAGGGTTTAATTGTCTATATTACTCTTGTTCTGTAAGCGGATAATGGTAACTTCTATTTATATACTTAATGATGAATATAAATAGAAGTTACCATTATCCACTTACAAAAGAACTAAGAGCATATTGCTAGAGAGGGAAAAATTGAATCAAAGATCATACTATTATATCTAGAATAACATTATATCTGAAATATCACATTCCTTTCCATATTTAAAGGGTAGCTACCAAAAAAAGCCTACCAAAAAAAAAAATTTAGGTTGTTATTGGCATATTTTATGACCCATTAGCATATTTGGTAAAAACTGTTTTGACAAAAATTGTATTAGTCTATAAAATATTTTTGATTCTGAAACACTTTCATTTTATTTTAAATATCTTACGGAAATAATATCTGAATTAGTTTTTTTCTTTCTGTTGCTTTAAAATGGGCACTTCAAGATGACATTTTAGCTCTTTATCTTCTGTAACCATGGTAATGCTTGCTGCTAAAGATGTCCCTGAATTCACTTTTCCCCACCTTACTTACATTTAATGTTATAGATAAGCAGTGACTTGAAATAACTGAGCTCCTAAATGAATAGGGAAATCTTTTTTTTTTTTTTTTCCCCAGTGAGGAATGATTATGCATGTAAGACACAGCTAAGCCTACCAAATTTTTAATGAGTAATCATGCTTCACTGAAATAATTTTTGATGTGAAAATGTGGAAGAGTTCTATGACCTTGGGGTTTTGGTTGCTTAATTTTTGGCAGCCTCACTGACCAAACGGCACTTGCTCTAGGGAACAGAATGAAATATCGGCAGTGCAGACTGAAATGCTCTTTTCCCTCTGTAGTACACTGTTTCTGTGCAGCAGATCTCAGTTTGACCCCCAAATGTGATTTGCCAGTTTAAGGACACTGAGGCACTTATGGCACCACACTTCTAACCTTACTAACAGATGGCACTGTAAGACGACAGTAGCTGCTAATGCTGAAGTATACTATAAATTGATTGAAGCAAATAATCTGCTTAAGGAAGGGATGCCTTCTTGGAGGGCGTTTTGAAGAAAAATTATTTATATTTATGTTCTGTGGGAGGGAACTTTTAAAAAGTAGAAACTTTCAGGAATGGAAAGAAAGGAATTGTATCAAGCATGTAAACCTTTTTGATCTTCATAAAAATGAGCTCGAAACCAAATATGTGCTTTTGTTATATTTTTTAGTGGAATCTTTGAGCCTGTGAGTTGTGATAATTTTCAAGACTTTTTACAGAAAACAGTTACACAGCCTTGTTTTAAAATAACATTATAGCAATGAGACAGCTAAATAAATTTTTACTATTGATAGAATTGCCTAGTAGTAAAATCTTAATTATAAAACCCAATTCTGTAAATTTATTGCAAATTTAAAACAAAATTTTATCAACATAATTGAAATATACTGCAAATTTAAAACTAATTGCAAAAATCTTTGATGGTTGTTAGTATTTAGCAATGATTCTGACTTTTACTATCATATTGAAAGTTCTGTGTGAAATAACCCTAACAGATCTCAAGATTATGGTAAAATTTGATGTTATATTTCTCTAACATTATTTATGTTTCATCACATTTTAAATTTACTTTGTTGTAAATTCATTAATAACAAAAGCTGGCATCTAGTACTGAAAATTCTTTGCAGCTGCTAAATATGATGACATATTATGTAGTCAACTTTCTACAAGGCCTAATATCAGAAATGATGTCCATGATTAATATTCAGAATTTCAAAGGACATTTGAAAAGGAAGAGGAATAATCCATGTTATAATTTTAAAAGGAAAATATTATATGCAGTTCACTTGTATTCTCAAGCTGTTTTATCTGGAAAATAAATTCATTTAATTACGATTTTTTTATTGTTATTACAGAACAATTGGAAAACTACTGACTTCACACATTTCTAGACAAAGACCAGTTAATCAGGAGTTGGTTGAAATAGATAAATACAAAATTTGAAAATTGCAACAGAAAAGAGCATTTATTCAAAATATGTGCCTGAAAATATTTTTTAAAAATTCTTTGAAAACCATAATAAATAAATTTATAATATAAAATTCCAAATTTTGGAAGTAATCATCAAGGAAAAAATCATTTATTAAATTACATTAAGACTAGTTATGTCTTAAAATATGTTAAGAATTTTTATTCTCAGAATATCATTGCCTTATGTATTAAAATTCTTATTCCTGTTGAAAATGTGCCTTTTGTTTTCATATTATTTTTGCCTATGTTTCAAATTTTTAAAAATAACTACATATATTTTTTATAAAAGTTACAAATCATATTATTTTCCATTTCTGACATTATACTATTACATTTAAGAATTTTGTTCTTAATAAAGGTATATCAAGAATTTTCTCTGTCTTTATCTATGACAGAGTTGAAAAGTCTCAGATTTGCATTTAATGACAGTGAGATAGTTTGTTATTTCTAATAAACAAAATTCTATCAAAATGTAAACCACATTGCAAAAATGCCCAAGTACCACTTTCTGTTTAGTTCAAACTATGCAAAATTTTAAACTATGATCAGTAAACAAAAGTGTATCATCACTGAACTACCTGAAAATTTTTTTATTATTCATTTAAAAAAAGAGAAGTAATTTTTAATTAATATTTTTGATAAATTAGCTGTTATATATCCAAATGCGATTTCATTAAAACATTGTAATTATAGCATATAAATGAGTTTGTAATACTGCTTTCAGCATCAAGAACTTTACAGAGAATTTCAATTTTTCTTATACCTTTCATTTTTATCTCTGTATACTATTCGTATGATATTGTGCAAAACAGTTTTGCTACTTTTGAAAACAATAAGAAAGAGGAGAATCATGTAATTAAAAACTGTACATTTGAATTATCATCCTCTCTGTTTCCTATATTAACATGTGCCATGAAATGTTTTTCTTTCTCTACATCATACATTTGAAAGTTTGTTTCATTATTTTGAGATATTATTGTATATTTAATTTGCATATTTTAATTGCATTTGATTATTAAATAAATGAAGTTTATGACACCATTAAAAAAGTTTTTATTTATGAGGACTATTTTACGTGTAATTATTGTGATATATTAAATAAAAAAAGGGAACACAGATTTATGTAAGCATCTACTAAGTGACAGTTGCCTTATTTGTAAGTGTTACTTTTTCTTAAGTCACAAATGAAATATGTAATAATTTAGGCTTTTGTAATTAGATCAGAAGAACTGAATTTTGAATAACTTTATTATCTCAATAAATTTTTTTTTATTTCTGAGACCTTTAAAGTGTATTTTGATACATGTAGCAGTAGCATGCCAAATTGCTCTTTCTGTCCCATCAGCAAATTCGGGATTTCATTACAGTTCAAAAGTTATTACTAGTAATAGTTGAAAAGAGTCTTACATTACTATTTAATGCTATTTACAGTATGTGTAGCACGATAAAATAAAAACTTAACTAGGAAAGGTAATATTT